ATCCTCGTGGAACAAAAGAAGCGACGACGCGGCGCGGCTCTTTCGAGAAATCGATCGACTCGTTTGTCAACGGGACAGGAGGGACAGAGACAGAGAGAGCCTCTGATCCGGAGCCTTTTTCTCCGAGTCCGCTGGTCGAAAGTTTCCGGGGAGATTTCTGAAAGGTTCCCGGAAGGTTACGACCTCGGCAACAGTGTCATTAAAGTGACAAAAACAGCCGAGACCTCGCTCCACTTTTCTTCGAATCTCTCGCTCTCGTTCTGCGAACTTCTCGCAAATTCGTTGTTTTATTTGCGTCTCGCAAACGCAGCGAAGTGCTCGAGTTTGGGAAGTGTGTACACGCGTACGTACGTATCACATGTATATTGAAGTGTAACCGGTAGGCTAATATTTAACCAAGTCAGTTTCCCTCAAAAAGCATAATGTCCGTAACTAATTGAAGTCGGTGAAGATCTTTCGACTTTACTCGGTCGATAACGTCGGTTTCGACGCGCCATGGCCATTTGGAAGCAGGTTAAAGGAGTTTTCGAACGAAAAGGAGATAAATGAAAACGCGCGTGAGAAGAAAGGAAAGTGAACATCGTGCTCCGTCAAAAATGGCGAACTGAAACTTACGACGTACAGCTGCCCACTTAAGCGTCCACAGTCGAGACCGAAAAGACGGATGCTTGAGCGGATAGCTGTATTCTGCGAATTGGCAACGAGGAAAAGAGTTGGGATCAATATCGTTCACTACGTTATTCCATTGCAAAGAAATTTAACGTTTTTAACATTTTTTCATTTCATTTCAACCGGATACATTTGAACTATTTCAACGGTATCCCTCCTCTATAGGCCGAATATTTTTCTCGATTACAAAAGAATTTATGTAACGTAGAATTAATAAATATAAATACAGACTAACAATGAATTCAACAGACAATCTGCAAAACTAGTTACTTTGACATTTTCAGAGTAGAGGTGATAACTGTTATTAAGAATGTTAATAAGCAGACATTGTACAACAAGACGTATACGCCATCTTGTGGAGGAAAGTTCAATTA